CTTAGTAGCAAAGCACTTGCCTAAGAAGCGTGAGGCACTGGTTTTGGTCCTCAGCACCACATAAAAATAAAAAAACAAAATAAAGGCATTATATCCATCTATATCTAAAAAGAAAAAAATTAAATGTTAAAAAAAAAAAAAAGGCTTAGAAACTGAGATCTGAAGGGTGAGTGAGAAGATTCTGCTCTGGAAAGGCTGGGGGCAGAGGCAGCATGGGGATGGGCCAGAAGAGGGGAGAGAGCATGTCTCAAAGCACCAGAGGAGGAGGATTAAGTGTGAGGTGTCTGGAGCTTTCTGCAGTCCTGTGAGCCAGAACAACCAGGAGCCATCAAATCAGAGAGAGTGACATCTCTAAATTTGCATTTATAAAATTCACTAGAGTTGAAATCAGGATGGTTAGAAAAAGGAAGTGTGATGGAAGTAGTAGAGGGGAGTTTGAAGATAAATAATGCCAATTTCGAGATAGGTCTTCCTATGTGACATTATGGCAATTAAATGGCTGTCAAGTCAATTAAAGTCTCTGTCAAGTCAGATCCATTATAGTTTCAACAGAGGGAATTTAACGTGGAAGATAAAATTCAAAAGTTTTGGCAGAGATAAAAGAATGAGCTGAGGACAGGGATGCTACAGCAGAAGTTGCTCCCCTCCTAGGAAAGACCCAGAGAGCAAGCAGGAAGGGTCCAGGAACTGGGGCCCTGGCAGAAGCTAGAAGCTTAGATGGGTCATGGCCACTGCTGCCATGCCAGAAAGAAGAGGGGGAATGGCTCGCCTCTGCTGTCCTCTCACCTCCAGTCTCCCACTGAGTCTCCCATTGGTCAAACCTAGGCTGGAAGGTGCTCAGCACGAGAGCCCCTAGATGAAGGTAGAGTGGAGGAAGGAGAAGAGAATCTGAGAGCAGATCAGTAGAGGAGGAGCAGGTGTCCTGCTTCAAGCATCCTGTCCCTAGTGTACTAGAGACTCGCAAAGATTGTACACCTTCCTATAACCAAAGAGAATCCACCCACACATTCTAGAACAGATGAAGACAGTTGGTTTGGAGGGCCTTGCTTATGCTCTCTGCATTCAGGCCATGGTGTTACTTTGAGACCAACCTCATTTTGAGTGAAGGGTTCAGTTGATTGGAGTCTATGCCAGAGTTAGAGGGTTTTTTGTTGGTGTTATTATTTTTTGGTGGGGGGTGGGAGTGTTTTGCTTTTATTTTGAGATGGGCCCTTGCTGTATTGCCCAGGCTGGCCTCCAACTTGGGATCCTGCTGTCTCAGCTTTCTGAGTAGCCACCACACCCAGCTAAAAACTTTGATTACAGAGAAAAATTCAAGTTCAGGTACATACTGTCCTTCCTCTTTTTTTTTTTTTTTTGCCATTTTGTAGACCTAGGTCATTTATTTCAGAAGGGACCAGGCAAGAGAAAAGCAAGAAACCAGTGCAACTGCTCATTCCCCTGGAAACAGGATAGAGTTTGTGTTTCGTGGAAGTGTGCAGAGGAGATGTGCCTGGACCCAGGCAGCAGTGTGCTGCCTCCACCCGTCTTTGAAAAGAGGTCTGGTGGCTTTTTTCCATGAAGGCCCTTATCTGCTTAGGACTGTAGTGTTTCAAGTTGACCAAGCACAGGGCATATATAATTTGGAATTTCCCAAGAAAAAAATATATCCAGAAGCAATCTACCTGCAAGCCAAGGACATTAAGGACATATGTATGCCTAAGATTTAGAAATGAAATGATGGAAACTGGCTTTTCTTTCTTTCCTTCCTTCCTTCCTTCCCCTCTTCATCACTGAGCTATGTCCCCAGCCCTATTTAGTGCCAGGGATTGAACTCAGGGCCCTTAACCACTGAGCCACATCCCCAGTCCTATTTGTGTTTTTATTTTGAGACAGGTTGTCACTAAGTTGCTTAGGTCCTTGGTAAGTTGCTGGGGCTGGCTTTGAATTTGCGATTCTCCTGCCTCAGCCTTCTGAGCCACTGGGATTACAAGTGTACCCCACTACACCAGGCTTTGGATTTTCTTTAATTCCAGTTCTCTCTTCCTGATAGGATGGTGATGTTGTAGCCCCACTTATTACACCTCGAAAACCGGAGTGGAATTACAGGGATTCAGCCCACAGTCCAGCCCACTTCCCAGGAGCAGCCAAACGCCTTAAATTTTAAAGATGACTTGGCATGAAATCTGTAATTGGACACTTACAAAAAGCCCTCCCCCAAACAATTTAGGGGATTTAATCACATAGTTTCACAAATTTAGTAACTAGTGCTTTTATTCTGTATTTTGAATTTATACACATACTAAAGGTAAGTAATTTTTATTAAAAAAAATGCTGTTGGGCAAATCTTCCTATACGTGCTATGAAAAGCATTACTTTGCCTATTTTTAACATTAACTTTCTCCTTTAGTAGTCTATTTTCTTAGAATAACAACTCTATCTACTCTGAACTCCTATGACAGGTAATTGTTTTTTGTTTTTAATTTAGAAATCAGACAAGTGCACAACTTTGAAGTTGAAAGTGTCATGAACAGACATGATTAAAAATAAATAAAATCTCCGTCCCCTGAGAGATGTCTCTCAAACCCAAAATTGCTCTACTGAGGATAGCTTCTCAAATGATACCTAAACTTACCAGTGAAAGACATTGCCCTCACTCTGGTAGCCCCTACAAGCTGCACGGCTGTGGTAAACAGTAGACCAGGGCCAGGAGTCAGGGCCAGGGCCAGGGCCAGGAGTCGGCTCCAGCTCTGGTGAGCAGACCTGGGGCTCCGGCCTCTTTGTCTTTCCTTTTTTTTTTTTTTTGGTGGTGCTGGGAATTGAACCCAGAACCTCTTGCAGCTAGGTATACACTCTGCCACTGAGCCACACTCCGTCCTCCTCTTCAGTGGAGCATAAAAACCCCTTTCAGGAATCTGCAGAGGCAGAGGATCCTTCCAGCCAGGTCACCGGAGTCTGCTGTGGCTTCAGACCCGGCAGCTTGTTTTTCTTTGAATTCTCACCGTCCATCTCCTAGGGCCTCACCACTGCCCAGCCTGGAGAGGTCTCCCTCTAGCTTGTCTCCTCATCTGCCTTTTGAGCTGCTCAGAGGTCGTCACAGGGTCTGTCCTTGGGGCTATTCTCACCTGGAACTTTGTTTTCGCATTTTGCTCCAGGCATTTTACAGGTTTCAGAGCAGACCAGACTGCCTTTCCTGAGGTTGGTGACTACCAAGTGGGTCCCAGCTTCCCCTTTGTGACTTGATGTTCCCAACAGTAGAGAGGGTACCATCATGGTCAGGCAGTGCTCCTGTGCCCAGGAGATCCCCTACCCCAGGGTGTAGAAGTTCACCAAGAACAAAGTCTGGGGTTGGGGCCAAAGTGGGCGGTGAACAGAGAGAATTCTTTCACACTGATGCTCCCTGGCAGCCTGGAGCAAGGTGGCAGTGGGCAGCCAGAGTGAGTGGGGAGCTCAGGCTACAGGCCAGGAAGTACCTGTGCTGTCACTTTCCACTGTTCTCCTGGGAGTGATAGTCAACCCTTGATTCCCTACTGAGGGATGGAAAGTGGTGACAGCCCAGGGTCCCAACTGTTCCAAATGCCCTGGTTACAGTGGAAAGTGGCAGCATCACCCCTACCACGGTGCCCTGGTGGGGACAGTTCACACATGGGCTCCTGAAAGCACAGGGGAGGTTCCAGGTTGGATCTGCTCAGCCAAGGTGCCTGTAAAACCTGCAGGGGAAACGGCTGGAGGTCTCAGCTCCTGTGCCCAGCCTCAACGTCAAGAATGTAATATTTTTGTGCTAAGATTTATTTTTCCTGCCACTTTTATTTTTAAATCATTGTGGTTTACTCTGCAGTTTTGTAATCCTAATATTGTATCATTGTGCTGACTGAGAAACGACTTGAATCTGTTTGTTGTTGTTTTTGCCTCTTTCCTTACATGTAAGGCAGCTGCACTTTATGCTGTTTGCAACTGTTTTTATTATGAGAACCATGTGCCATTAACAAGGCTAAATTTTTCTTATGAAACATCTTGACTCTGTATAAAAAGGGATTTTTACAGCTTAGTCTCTAGAGTTCCTGAACATTGTCACCTTGAGACTGTGAATAGAACCGACTGGTTCCTTCAGCTGGGTGAGGGAAATGGCTGCAATAAAGCTTCACGAATGTGTCTCCAGTGTGGACGTGTGCTCTTGAGCCACTTTCTCCTTACCCTGGTGTGTGCCCAGTCTGACCCTGCTGTGCACATGAATGCAGGCCATGCAGGACTCTGATGTTGCTTAGTCCTTCCACACCGTGGGGTCAGCGAGAGGCATGGCAGTAACAAGGTCCCTGGCAGGGAGCTCTCCTCGTGCAGCAAGGCAAGGAATAGCATCTTTCCCTCTAGCAGAAGGCAGGCCCTGGCGTGGGAAGGAGAGGACTAAGGAGTGTTCTTAGTTTGCAGAGCTCCTGTTGCACCAGAAAACACTCCTTTCTCTCTTCTCATCTCCTTCAAGTTCCATCCACAGAGGTTCAGCATCTTTGCCCAAATAAGCATACTGTTCATTTGCTGCTTTCATATCTTCATTGTACCTTGGTGGCATGCAGGACCCCCAGAGTTCTAGAATAGTCACGGGACAAGAGAAGGAATACTGCTGCTAGAGTCTTTGTTAGTTCCTCGGGCTGAGCCCAGGTTTCTGAGGTTTGACAGCGTTCTTTAAATTAAAGTAATTCTTAAAACATACAAGGTACAACACCACCCATGTAAGAGAATACAGGTTTTTGTTTGTTTGTTTTTTTGTTTTCTTCTAATTAGTTATACATGACAAGAATGCTGTTTTTGTAAGAAAAAATATATATACATGTATCTCCATAGAAAATTGTTTTGAAAGATATACATGAAAACATTACTGTTTGGGGAGTTTGCATTTTAGACAGTTTTATTTATTTATTTATTTATTTATTCATTTATTTGTTCATTCATTCATTCATCATTTTTGCGTCCAGGTGTTGAACCCAGGGCCTCCAGCAAGTGCTGTACTGCTGAGCCAATCCCAATCCTTTTTTTTTTTAATTGATTTTATTTTTAATACACGACAGCAGAATGCATTACAATTCTTATTACACATATACAGCACAGTTTTTTTCATATCTTTATATATAAAGTATGTTCATGCCAATTCATGTCTTTATACATGTACTTTGTTTTTTTCTAATTACAATTCTTTATATATATATATATATTTTTTTTTTTTTTTTAGTTGTTGATAGACTTTTTTTTATTTGTATGCGGTGCTGAGGATCTAACCCAGTACCTCACACATGCAAGGCAATAGCGCTACCACTGAGCCCCAGCCCCTACAATTCTTATTACACATATATAATTTATTTTATTTTGAGATGGGCTCTTGCTAAGTTACTTAGGCTGGCCTTGAACTTGATTACCTCCTGCCTCAGCCTCTCAAGTAGCTGTGTCCCACCACACCTGGCAATTTAAAATTTTTTCTGTGTCTTCTGGGTTTTCTACAGTAAACATGTATTCACTGTTGAATTCCTATAACAGTAATTTTCATGAGGTACTCTTTGCTTCTTGGGTAAGGTGTGTCTTTCACATATTCAGATCACTTACGCAGAACAGTGTCTGCCCCCATACCTGTCTGTCCTCAAGCCACAAGGAGGCTGTCCAACAGCAGAGTCAACATGAGTATGTCATCCTAGTTTCAGAAGGGGCTGCCCCATGTGAGGAAGACCTGGACAGCATCCATGAGCAGGTCTGAGTCCCTGTGGCCCAGGAAGCTGCTGGCACAGGGCATCAGCTCAGAACCCAGGCCTCCAGCTCCTTGATGCAGAACTGCTCGCGCCGGGCCAGCACCTCATTGTTGAAGGTCGCACAGGGGTGGCTTCCCCCGTGATACAGGTCTCCATCTAACCATAGCCCAAACTGGCCGCTAGAAAGAAGAAGAAGATGTTGGCATGACTCAGCCCTGTATGTTGGGCCTCAGAATCCACCACCGCCAGCCTTAGCCATGCCATCACAGCTGCCCAGGTTGCTCCTCATTGTTCCTTAGACCAACTTATCCTGACTTTTCCGGGGGATTCAGCATGTTGTTCCCTGTGGGGCTTAAAGCACTTTTAAAGACAATTCAAGGATTTTCATAAATACATACAGTGGTACAGCCATCCCCACAGCCCAGACACTTGGAACATTCTGATCCCCACATTTCACAGAAAACCTAGGCTGGAGCCAAGAAGTGAATTACTGCAAATCAGCAATGACTGATGTGTTTGTGCCAAGCTGCCTCTCAAAGGAGGCTTTTCAGGCAGCTGGGAAAGCAAAAGAATTTGGTACTAATCAAGCAATGCTTTCATCTCTGCCCTCAGGGTAAAACTCATTAATGTGCCTGCATTTGAAGGTCACACCAAGAGTGAGACCAGCCTCCTTTTTCCTAACTCTCTCCATCTCCCAGACACATATACAGAAGCCCGGGTTATTAGAGGAGGGCAGATGTAGCCTTCCTCTAATTAAAGTTAGGTCCCCTAGGATCACTGAGCTGACTGGCAAATCTTAGTCTTGCCATCTCTGGACTCCAGCCTCATCCAACCATGTCATTGTACCCAAAGTCACATGAATTCCGACTCAGCTGTATAAACTGGTGGGGGAGTTTGTGCATCTTCTTGCTCGCTCCTTGGCTTCTGTGAGGTTGAGAGGTTGGCCCAGGGGGTGGACAGTGACTGAAGGAGAAAGTGAACCCCCAGCCTCCCCACTTCATCTGGAGCAGTTACAGCCTGCAGTTATGGAGAGAGAAAGGGTCCAAACACAGACTCCACCCCAAGACTCGGGAGGATGGCGACACTCACCTGCCACTGCCCATCATCAGGGAATCCAAGTCTCCTTTCACAAAGAAAGAGTTGCTTCCTGTCCACTTAAAGACCTGGGGTGACAGGCAAAGCTCAGGGTTACTGGGGAGTCCTGGTTGTGCAGTCTGACTCCAAGCCACTAGATGGCAGCGTTGTGGAGGGAATAAAGCCTCCAGGGCCCAACCAAGCTGCAGGAACTCTGGGCCCCAGGCTCCTGAGATTTCTCTTCTTGTTGATCACCTCTCACACCCTGTAGTTTGAGTTTCCACAGCCTAGAAGCGCCTTCGCTCTAGGAATAGAACAGAAACCTCTGAGGCTTCCTGCTTCCAAAGCAGGAAAGAAGTGGAGCAGGGGCTGATTCTACCACGAACATGCATCTCTCACTTCAGGTCACACCAAGCCTGCCTGTCCCCAACAACTTGCCTCCTCCCCCGTGCCCTGGCCACAGCCTCCCAATGTTTTTGTCCCACCAGCTCCTGCCCCAGCCCATCTCCACACTGTGACCTGAGTGTTCTATTTGGAATCTGTAATGGAGGAAATCCGTCTCCTTACTAGAGCCCCTGGCGCAGCTGCCTGCACCCTGATTTTCTCTCTGATCTCTTCTCCCCTGTTGACTGCCCATGAACTACTCTGGCCTTGCTGTCCCTGGAACATCCAAAGCTCATTCCTGCTTAGACCTCTGTGCTCCCCGGTCCTGCTGCCCAGAGGGCTCTTCCCCCAGGTCTACTAGGACCCTCTTCTCTTTCAGCTTAAGGGTCATCCCAGAAACGTTCCTGGACATCCCTATTAAGGCCGTTCTTCCTCCAGCCCTGTCTTGTCCTCCTTGGCGTTTACCCTCGGAGAGCACTCATTCGGCGGCATCTGTGTGCCTTTATCCGCCCACTGAAATGTACGGTCCAGAGGGCAGCTTGGTCCCTGGCACAGTGGAGTGCTGTGGCTGAATTCATTTGTTAAATAAATACATTATTTAAGAATCAAATTAGGCAATAAAAGGACTTCTAAAGGGCCACAAAGGTATATTATTGCCAGCAATTAGTTGTAAAAACAAAACCTAAAAAGGACTAATTAAAAGAAAAGTCCTGGCTCAGAAGGGATGAGATAATATTAGCAAGTAACCACAGGAAAACAGAACTGTTGCCAAGCACAGTGACACACGCCTGTAATCCAGCCACCCAGGAGGCTGAGGCAGGAGGATCACAAGTTCAAAGCCAGCTTCAGCATCAGCAAATTAGCAAGGCTGTAAGAAACTTAGCGAGACCCTGTCTTAAAAAATAAAAAGGTCAGGGATGTGGCTCAGTGGTTAAGCCCCTCCCCACCCCCGCAATTCAATCCCCAGTATCAAAAATAAAAAATTAAAAAGAACTATTGAACACTTCCTCAACTTCCTTCAAAGACATGACCTTCAGACTTGAAACCATAAGATAAATATTGCTACAGAAAAAAATTAAGATGAAGTTCATGGTGCTGCTTAGAATAGCAATTAAAGGATGAAGCATTGGGAATTTATGAAGGACACAGAAATGCCCGAAGACCAAAGACAGTAAAGAATTAACCAATTTTTTAAGAGACAGGATTCCATAACCACAGGCAGGGAAGACAGTGTCCCCCTGAAGAAAAAATCATTCATTTCAGTAATTTTTTTAGCATTTATGCACCAGGCACGGTTTAAGTACTAGGTACAGTGGTTAACACAGTAGGTTAAAATCTGTGCCTCAAAGGATTCACATTCTAGTGGAAGGAAGCAAATAAAAAAGTAAGAAATAGCATGTTAGAAGGTGAAAATGCTAGGGAGAGAAATGACACTGAGAAGGGCAATAAAGGTTTTCAGGGAATAGGGGGGGTGATAATTTTAAATAACCTAGGCAGGGTAGTCACTGAAATGGCAACATTAGGACAAAGTCCTGTGGGATGGAGCCATGTGGAGACCTAAGAGAAGGGCATTCTGGGCAGAACAGCATGTACAAAGGCCCTGAGGCAGAGTAGACCTATGTCCAAGTGCCAGTTCAGGCCAGTGTGGTTGGAGCAAAGTGAGGGGAAGGAAAGTGGTAAGAAACAATATCAGAGACAGGCCAGGTCATTGGTCTTTGTACAGACTTTGGCTTTTCTCCAAGTGAAAAAGGAAGCCAAAAAGCAACATGCTGTGACTTCCTTTTCAAAAGGATCATTCCAGCTAACTGTTAGGACTGCAGGTAGAACCAGGGAGACCCATTAGGATACTGCAGCAGGAACAAAGAAGGCTTGAACCAGGGTGACAGCTAAGCACGCGTCTAGACGTGGAGGATTCTGAACATAGGCGGAGGCAGCTGTTAGCCCAGATGCGGGTGTGAGAGGAAGAGGGAGCTCTCCAAGATTTTTTGGTCACAGTGGCAGAGAAGATGGAGGTACCATTATCTCTGGTGAGGGAAAACAGGGAGAGGAGCAGATTTCATGGAGCAAAGACAGGAACTCAGTTTCAGACAGGTTAAGCTTGACATGTCATGTTGGAGAACCAAGCAGAGGTGCTGGGCAATGGTTGGCTGTGTGAGTCTGGAGTCCAGGGAAGAGGTCATCAGCATGTGGTTGGCATGGAAACCTGTGAGGGTGGACGAAACCACAGAGGAAATGAGGGTCGGCAGAGAAGAGCTGAGAACCCAGAGGTAAGTAAGAGGGTTGGAGGAAGAGAGGGAGCCAGCAAGAGGCAGACAAGGAGTTGGCCTGCAGTAGGAGGAAGGTTCTAGAACTCTAGTATGTGGACACTGGAGGGGCAGTGGTGATGACCAGCATCCTGACCGTGCGCAACTGGCGCCCGTCTCCCAGGAAGACTGGAGGAGGCTCTGGCTGGTGGAGGCTAGACAGACAGCCTTTGGCAAGGTGGTCTGCACTTATTAGAAGAGCTCAGAGCAAACCGAAGCCCCTGGAACTAATTCTCCACCCATAGAAGAAAATGTGAATCAGTATTTCTTGATGACAGTGCCCAGCCATATACTCCCTGCTCCACCCTGTCTCTATGGATGCCTGAATGTGCTCTCGTTCCCCCAAGCACAGCTCTGAGAACTCCTCTGACCCCCTCAGCCGCCTGCTCATCTTGGGTTTGTCTATCAAAGATCCATCTCCAGAAGCTCCTCCTCCAGGAAGCCTCCCTGATCACCCTCTCCACCAGACACGGGTGCCTCTGCGCTTCTTCCGGAGCCCTTCTTACTCAGTTTAGTGTTCAGCTTTCCTTCCCCAGCACAGGAGCATCCTAAGCTGGGGACCCTCTGCAGTTTAGAGAGGTCGTGCTGTGCTGCGGCTGCATTCAGACTCCTGTCCCGTCCTCACCTCCGGCAACTGAGTTAACTGGGGCCCATCATTCAACTTCTCTCTGCCTCAGTTTCCTCCTCTGTAGCATGGGGATGATAATGGCACAGTCCTCCGGGGACTGATGTGAGGATGGTGCTGGTGTGTGGAGGCGGGAAGGTGACCCACCAGCAGCCGTCATGTTGATTCATGCTAAAAGTAGGATGCTCCCTGCCATGCAAGCAGAGCTCGGTGGCTTCCTTCAATAAGGGACCCAGAGGCAGAAAATTGTTGGATGGAAGACGTTTGGGATGGGAGATGTTTGGGACTATTATCATTGTCCTTCAGAAACCCCATGGCGGGAAGCAAGAGCTGAGTTTGTCACCTTAGACCACTTGGTCTTTCTGACAGCTTCTCCCTCCTTCAAGAGCCTCAGCTCCATCGTAGTGACTCGGGAGGCTGAGGCAGGAGGCTCACACACCAGCCTCAGCAACTTACTGTCTCTAAAGAAAAAATAAAAGGGGGCTGGGGATGTGGCTCAGTGGTAGAGGCTTGCTCATAAAAAAAACATAAACAGTCATTGTGTCCATCTACAACTAAAAATATTTTTTTAAATAAAATAAAATAAAATAATAAAAAGGGCTGGGGTGTGGCTCAGTGGCTAAGCACCCCAGATCCAATCCCTGGTACCAAAAAACAAAAATAAGGAAAGAGCCCCAGCTCCTTGGTAGATGGTGCCACCTGAGATGCCAGCCACCTGTGGCCATCGGTCACGGGTCTCTTCACCCCCATCACTCACCATCCCCTCCTCTTTCCTGATTCCTGGGTGAACTTCTGTCCCTGTCCCCGCCTACAGTCTTTTTCTCTTAACCTCCAGAGGGTTCTCAGCTACTGTCTTCCGCGGTCACCTCGGGGGACTTGTCCTCATCAGGGACAAGTCCACAGTCTAGCTCAAATGTCCTTTGAATGCCATATCCATCAGGTCAACACACTGTTCCCTGCTCCTCAGGGAGACCTGTCCTCTACTGAGGCCAGTTTTGTCCCAGTATCCCTCAGTTTCTGGTGGCTTCCCTTGCCTCTTTACAGCCTAGATTCTGTGATGCATTTTGGGTTTATATATATAAAAAAACTCAGTGGCTCAGTGGTAACGCCCTGGGTTCGATTCTTTATTTATTTGTATGTGATTCTGAGAATCGAACCCAGGGCGTTACCACTGAGCCACACCCCAGCCCCATGTGGTGCGTTTTGTATTTTCTCTCCTTCAACCTGCTCTTCCCTCTCTGCCTGTGTGTGTTGAGGGCAGGGAGATGGGATGTGCCCCAGAGTTCTGCTTAGGCAAGTGCTCTACCATGAATTACATCCCCAGCACTTTTTATTTATTTATTTATTTTATTTTGAGATAGGGACTCGCTAAGTTGCTGAGGCTGGCCTCAAACTTGCACTCCTCCTGCCTCAGCCTCCCGAGTTGCCCAGATTACAGGTGTGTGCCACCATGCCCGGCTCCCTTCCTGCCTCGGCTCAACCAACTTGGCAAAACCCCAATCCTGGAGGACCCTCCCATCCACCTTTCTCCAGGCCTGGCAGAGGTGATGGACACTGCTGAGGGGTTGTCCCGCCTGGAAACTCACAGGCCCAAACCTCCACCCGCCACAGCCTGGCGGTCCTGTCCCACAGTCTCCTCTAGGGCCCCCTCCCCACACTGCGGATCCTGTGTGACTCCCTCCCTCTCCTTCATGCCCCTCCTCCATCCTCACTCTTAGCTGAGGACCTCACCTGTGCTTCCCAAGAAGCCATTGGCCACATCCTCCTGCCACCACACCTCAGAACCATCTGCTCTTGGGCCCCTGCTGCCTTTCCAGCTTGTGCCTGGAGAGCGGCACCCCTCCCCTCAGCCCGTCAGTGGTCACTCAAGACCTACAGAGCATTTTCTTTTTTAAAGATGGACAGGCCAAGGGGATGCTCTGCTCTTCGTTGCCCTGCTGCGTTCCTCTGGGTGGAGAGAGGGACACCAAGCATCCCAGCATGGGGGTTGGAGCTGGGGGCCACTGGGACCCTGGGAACTGTGGCCTGCCATAGAGCCCCCCGCCCCATAGGAAATGAGGACCCTCACCTTCAGCTGTGGGGAGAAGGAGAAGAGGAATGTCTCGCCTGTGCCGTAGAAGCCCTTGCTGAGTCGAAGGGCTGAGGAGGAGAAGGCGCCAAACATCTGGAAGGCAGAGGACAGGGGTCTGACACTGGGAGGGAGTTGGGGTCTCTGGCAACCCTGTCCTGCAGACTCGGTGAGGTAGGCTTGTCCTCAAGGCCCCAGGGGAGCCAGGGGCAGAGCGGGTGGGGAGCCCCCCTGGTCTCTACCTGCACCCCTTCCCTGCCAATCCCCAGGAGAGCCAGTGGGGCCTCTCAGTGTCAGCGCCCTCCCGCTGCTTCTCAAAGCCACTTACTTTACACGAGTACTTCCAGAAACGCTGGAGGTCACAGACAAGCAAAGACAAAACAGGACCCTCCCAGATCCCCTTCGGGCTCCCCAGGGTAATTTTTCATGATATTTTTGGTGTGTTTCCTCTAGTCTCAGGTTGATGCTGGTGTGCACACTTCCACACGAAAGCAAGGTTCCATATAATGGGCTGGTCTGGGGCACTGCTCCCCTCACTTCTATTCCCCCGCCCTTTTTTTTTTTTTTTTTTTTTTTTTTTAAAGAGAGAGTGAGCGAGAGAAAGAGAGAGAGAGAATTTTTCAACGTTTATTTTTCAGTTCTCGGCGGACACAACATCTTTGTTGGTATGTGGTGCTGAGGCTCGAACCCGGGCCGCACGCATGCCAGGCGAGCGCGCTACCGCCTGAGCCACATCCCCAGCCCCTCCCCCGCCCTTTTTACACTGGGATTGAACCCAGGGGCGCTTTACCACCGGCTACATCCCCAGCCCTTTTTACTTTTTATTTTGTGACAGGGTCTCATCAAGTTGCTTAGGATCTTGCCAAATTGCTGCTCCTCCTGCCTCAGCCTCCTGAGAAGCTGAGCCTACAGGAGTGTGCCCTTGCATCATTTCAAACGGAAACTCCTTAAAGTTGTTATCCTCGCTTTTCTTTAACAATTTCGAACATAAAAAACTTCAAAACACAGTACAGATCCCCCCACTAGACTCAAAATCATGAAGTTGTTTGCTATATTTGTCTCTCTCTCCCCCTCCCCACTCCCTCTCCCTCTTCATTTATTTATTTCTCTGTCCCACTTGAAATTAAGCAGCAGATACTATGACCATACCAAATAGTTCATCTCCTATGAATGGAGACTTTCTCTTACATAACCACAGTACTATCATCCCCCCTAAGAGAATTAACAATAATCCCATAATGTCATCTAGTAGCTACTTCCTATTCCATTTTTTCCAGTTGTCCCAAGAATGCCTTTAATATCACGCTTAAAAAAAAAAAAACTTAACACACTTAATAGGTATGCTTTACATCATGTTTCTTGCTTGCCTGGTATTTCACTATATGGAGTGAAACCTCATTCACTCTGTGGAGGGATTTGCATTGACTTAGCCATCATCCTCTGGTGGGATAGGTAGGTGGGCTGTGGATTGTCACCATTATAAATGACGCTGGGTGGCAGAGGTAGGATCACTGGAAACAGCTGGGTTGGGGGCTTAATATTAGGAGGAACTTCCTCATAGTCAATGATTTCTGCCACACAAGGGGCTGCTTCTGAAGAGAGTGAGCTTCCTGGCCCTCAGGCAGGGATTCCTTCCATCAGCATTTGGAGACAGGCACTCTGGCCCAAGTGGAGGGGTGTATCCTCTGGAATCCCTGAGACCTCTCCCAGCTCTAGTATGTTCCTTCCACAGGAGATCATCATTTGAAATGAGCTACCAGTTCCACCCCTCCTTTTATATGGAGAGCCTTCTTGGAAATCCACCATTGGAAAGACCACATGGACGTCAGGCATAGCTACCTCAAGCCTCCTCTTATAAAATGCAGGAGTCAGCTGCCTCTTCGGACCTGCTTCCCTTCTCAGCTCCTCCAACTCATCCTTCTCCCACCAGTTAGGGGTGATTTCCGAACAAGCAATGGCCTTAGGCTGGGGGTAGAGCTCAGGGGTAGAATGCTTACCTAGCATGCACAAGGTCAGAAGTTCAAGTCCCCGCACCAAAAGAAAGACTCAAAAAAAAAAAAAAAAGAACACAGGCTGAGGCTGTAGCTCAGTGGCAGAGTGCTTGCCTAGCACGTGTGAGGTACTGGGTTTGATCCTCAGCACCACACAAATAAAATAAAGGCATTCTGTCCATTAGAAAAAAAATACACTGATATTTAAGCTGTAGATCACCTGCTTAAAATCCCTCCATAGTTTCTTGTGCTTTGAGGCTAACAATGCAGTTTTGTTTTATGGTCAAATGATTATTTGCTTAAGGCCTGAGCCCTCCCCCCATTAAACTATTAGCTCCAAGAGGGCCGGGACCTTTCTGGGGTGAATCCATCTAGTCTGGATGTAGAAGGAGCTTAGGATCATGTGTCCTGGGCTGGCTCTGAGCGGGGTAGGCCTCCACGCCATCAGCAGGGTCTGTTAGAGGTGGCTTGGTTTATCACCTCTGCCTCTCGTCCCTAAGGCTGTCATGGGCTGGACCCACTGATGTCCGGCTCTGTCCCCCAGAACCCCAGCCCAACTCACCTGCCCATCCTGGTCCCTCAGGAGCAGGAGCACTGGCCCACTGTGGCCTTCCATCTGCCGGTACAGGCTCCGCAGACTAAAGCCGTCCCTCGACGTACAGAAAACGAGACTCCAGGGGTGGCCGGTGACTCGTGCGGGAAGGTGGAGGCTAAGCTGGGGGCAGGGCTGGAGGTGAGTGAGGGGGTCCTCTCCCACTGTCCTCCTTCCATCATAACCTCAGGACCCAGAGGACTGGGCTCAGCACCCCTGACGGGCACGGTGCCTCACTGTTTCCAGGAACTTCGTGCCTCTTGGCAACAGCCCTTGGAGACAGGAGTTTTTCTTCCCATTTTATAGATAAGGAAACTGAGCCTCAGCAAGTTGGGGCAACCAGCCCCAAACCCGCAGGAGAGTAAATGGCAGAGCCAGGAGCCAAACCCAGGCAGGGTTTCACTCCCCTGGGTCACTTTGTCCTCAAGAGGCCAGAGAATACACGGATGCTGCATCCTTCCTCCCTGTCCCCCATCTCCTGTCCCACCTACACCCCAGATTGGCTTCAGTTCCCAAGACTGATTCCATCTTGGAATTAACGTCTTTTCCTGGGTTCTCAGCCTCTCAGCCCCGTGCAGAGGCTGCTGGAAACGTTACTGGGTTTTTACTAGAAAGGAAAGGGAAGCCCAGAGAGAAGACTCGATTCGCCCAAGGTGACACAGAGAGCTGGAGACAGAGATCTGTGACCCCAGTGTCCCTGGGAGTGGCAGGTGTGGGGAAGAGTTCCAGGGCTGAAGTCCTGGGAAGGGCAGTGTCCGAACCTGCCTGATCTCCGAGGCACCGAGAACCTGGCTGGCTTCTGTCAGCTGGGGCTCCACGGGGTCTTCAGGGGCAGGGGCAGGAGCTGGGGCTGGGGCTGTCTCCTCCTCCTCTTCCTCCTCCTCCCCCTCCTCCCCAGACATGGTGTCCTCCATCTGGCTGGGCTGTGAAGACACAAAGTCGCCAATGGGTTGAGGGACCAACTTGCACTGTTTTCCCAGCCCAGAAGCCTCAGGCTGACTGCCCACCCCCTGCCCAGGTCCCTGCAGCCCAGCCCAGGAGAGCCGGGAGGTGCCCGTGACAGACAGGACTCTGCCCTGCCTCCAGCCTGCTTCCTTCCTGGCTGCCACCAGTGAAGATGCAGGGTCACACACCCCAGGGCACAGTGCTGCCAGTGGAGCCGTGGCCCTGCACCTGTTCACCTGTTTCCGCTGAACCCAGGGTGGACGCTGGCTTTTGAGTTCCGTGTGGGGCAGGGGAGAAGGGCAGGTGGCAGCCCATCCTCTGAGATGCAGCCATTGGTGTTAGTGCCTGAATTAAGGACCACAACAGCACTAGTGGTAATGACAAGGGCTGACATTGGCACGGCTCATGCTGGGCTGGACGGTGCTGTGTGCTCGTCATGCTTGAGCTCTCTGTATCTCATCCAGAATCCGAAGAATGTGCTTCTAATTTCTCCCTGTCAGCCAGTGGAACCATGTGTGTAGTCACAGGTGAGACAGTGTTTTTATAGGTGGTTATAAAATGTGTTTCTCCATGTGAATTTTGTTCTGGCTTCTCAGTGTGAGAAGGTGTCCAGTGTAGGTGAGTGTGTTACACGGCGTGTTACATGTCACTGTGTTCTGAGGGCAAGCTGGGAGTGTGTAAAGGTGTGGGTGTGTGGGTAGGGTGTGTGCTGGTATATCATTCACTCCCTTGAGCTTCCGCTCTGTACCAGGGTACTTGGTGTGTAAGTGTGTGTGTGTGTGTGTGTGTGTCCCCACATGCATGGACACTTGCGCATGCATGCAGACCTACACAAAATGATTTCAGGCTTTTAGGAAGGAGAGACCCCTTAGAGAATAAGAAATTCCAGTGGTACAGCACCTGCCTCGCATGTGTGAATTCGATCCTCAGCACCACATAAAAATAAATAAAGTTTTGCATCCATCTACAACTAAAAAAATTTTTTTAGGGCTGGGGATGTGGCTCAAGCAGTAGCGCGCTCGCCTGGTATGCGTGCGGCCTGGGTTCGATCCTCAGCACCACATACCAACAAAGATGTTGTGTCTGCCGAAAACTAAAAAATAAATATTAAAAAAAAAAAAGAAATTTTTTTTAAAAAAGGACAGAAATGCCCAGGGCTCCTGCTTGCCCACTGTGTGGGGGGCCTCTGGACACAGCTCCATCTGAGGACCACGGGGCGGGGAACACGGGCCACAGGCCCTGCTCTAAACCCCTAGACAGCCAGGAAGGGACTTGAGAGGGGAACAAAGCACCCACCTGCCTCCAACCCCAGCCCAGGCCCCTCCCTGGCCGAGATCTCACTCCGTCCCAACCTCACCCACAGCCCGAGCTGGACCCTTACCAGCCTCGTGTAACGCCAGCGGAGACCTTGCATTCTTCTGTCGCAGCCCTGCGCCGGGAGCCAGTCCCCAGCCCTGTCCAGGGAGGAAGTGCTATGACAGGCCTGGAGGCAGGAGGGAGGCGCCTGGGCACACCTCGCTGGCTCCGTGCCACCCAGCTGCCCTTTGCTCCCTCCTCTCACCTGTCACCCCCTGGTGTCCCCTGGGTGGATCTGGGAGCAACTGGGCACTCCAGGCCGCACTGACAGAATCGATACATCAGTCACATGGAACAGATTCTAGCCGTGATTCCCTTCCTCCTCCTCGCCCTTCTGACAGCCTGGCCTAGGGACCACGGCTCTTCCAGGGATGCCTGAAGCCCAGGCTGGGGGCCCAGGGCCTCTGACTCCCTGCTTGACCATGATAAGCCCATTTGCAAAGGAGCAGGTCCTTTAAAAATTTTTTGAGCTAGGAGTGTAGCTCAGTGGTAGAACACTCGCGAGAAAGTGTACAAGGCCCTGAGTTTGATCCCTAGCACCAGAAAGAAAGTGGGAAGTGGGGGGGGCATGGCTGCGGTGTCAAGGTTCCAATATTAAACACTTACTTGGCTGTGTGACCTTGGGCAAGCTATTTAACATCTCTGTGCTTCGGTCTGCATTTCTGTGAAACACTAATAGCTATCTCAGGAGACTGTGGTAAGAATAAATTAAAGTGGGGATGGGGTTGTGGCTCAGTGGTAGAGCGCTTGCCTAGCATGTGTGAGGCACTGGGTTCGATTCTCAGCACCGCATATAAATAAATAAAGGTCCATCAACAACAATAAAATTAAAGCATAATAATAAATAAAGGCAGTGCCTGAATTAAGATCCTTAGCCAGGCCTCCATCCTCACATCCTTGATTCCATAAGATAACCCCAGTGTGCTGGGTAATCGCAGTGCTTACTACCGACCCCACATTACCTCTAGAAATCCAGGTCCGACTCCCCAACAAGAGGCCAGCTTCCCACCCAGGGGCCTCTGGGACTCAGTCCTTCAGTCCCTCACAAGGTGAGAAGCTCGACGTGGGGAGGGAAAGGTGAGAACCCTCGAGGCAGGGACTCACCCTGCCAGGCCCTGGACACCTAGTTGCCTCTGGCTTTCTGGTCGACAGTTTCCTTAGTGTCCATCCTTGATCCTGAGGACAACTGGCCACATCAACACCCGACCCGGCCCACCTGACAGCAGCAGTTTTGGCTCCGAACTCCTGTCCCCCAGCAGGTGGCTGGCACCTCTGCCCCAGGCGGCTCTTATATTCACCCAGAAGGTGGCAGGCCCTGGCCCTGGGCCAGCTCCGGTTCCAGCCGGGACAACCTGTTGGTGATTATCCTACATCAGAACTCAGATCCACAAACACACACAAACAAAACCTCAGCAGGCCTCTGCCCCGGCTCTGTCCCCAAAATCTCAAAGGTGGGGGACACTGGGCTCCTTGGCTCTTACCAGGAGCTCCCAGGGGCCACCTGGTGTCTGATGCCCACTACTGAGGACCCTTTCCTTAAGGGTAAAATCTGTGATATGCAAATGCTACGGGAAAGAGCAATGCGGGTCGCTCTCTGTCAACGCTGTGCTGTGGGGAAGCCTGGGGCCGGGCTTTGCCCTGCGGGCTCCCCCTCAGATGGTGTGAGGACTTTCCTCATTAGCCTTGGGTACAGTCAGGGAGGTCGTGCACAGCCCAGTGTGGCCCAGAAGACACTGTCGGTGGGCATTCTCTATCCCTGGCTCCCAATAGGACCTTGGTGACTGTTGTGTTGTTCAGTCATAAAAGTCAGAGCCAGAAGGACTTCAGCTGGCCCCCAGGTGGGTAGCTCTGATCAGCCTCTGTTGGGTGGGTGAACACATGTCTCACAGGCGGCCTCCTCTTTACCCATCTAAAAGAGACCCTGTCCCTCTGGCCTTGGTGGAGAGGACTTGGGTCCCTCGTACTCTGCCTAAGACCAGGTGTCCTGGGGGCAATACTTCCTCCAGGAATCGGGGGATGCCAAAGGACTTCTATTTTGGGAAAAACAGCCAAGTGAAGAGTCCTGTTGCCACTTCAAACATGGCTGTTGCAATGTGTGTTTAAGCTGTAAACGGCCCAGGGTCACATGCCAGGCACTTCCTGCCGCCCCTGCCTGGGTATCCCTCTTATCCCCATTTCCCCCATGCTCCACGCCCGACCATTGGACACTCTGAGAAGTCAGGGAGGGTTGCGGAGCTCTCCCATTCTTTGTCTGCAAATCCAGGAAAATTCAGAGTGTGACCTGGCAGCAACACACCTGTCAGGTAACAGCCCCCAGAAAGGGGAAGTAGTGGGCATCGGGTGCCAGGGGGCCTGCCACCCCCACTCTGCCCTACCACCCCCACTCTGCCCTACAGCCGGCCTCCTTTCTCCTCTGCAGACTGCGTGCCACCTCCCACTCAAACTGCATAGTCATCTCCAGGAAACAGCTGGAGTGTCCCATTAAAGGGAGAAAGGTGAGTGACCCAGGCATGGAGCATCCACTCAGCGCCTCAGTGACATTGGCAGAGAGTTTAGGTGTGAATGGGAAATGTTTCCACTCTCCTGGTAAGAAAAAAGGAAAAGAAAAGAAAAGAAAGAAAGATATAGAACGGCACCTGCGGGACAATTTCAGCCACACAAAAGAAACTTGAAAAGACCAAGAGAAAATGAGAAGCTGCTACGCCCCTTGTTCCCTGGGGTGACTGGGGCTGGTTTCACTTCAAGTGTTAAACAGGTGCCTGACATGATGGCCTGACATCCTCCCTCATGTGTCCCCAGAGGTCAGATTTCCACTCTCTGAGGTCATTCTCACAGGCTCGCACTCCCTGCTGCCCTCAGCTAGCCACTTCATTCCTGTTGCGTGAATGTCGGCCACGCCCACCCTCCACCTCCACCTGCATCTTACCTGTGTCTTCTGTCTTCCCTCCAGAGCAATGGAAGACAGGTCCCTGCGGCTTTCCAAAGCTAGTCCCAGCCCTGGATGTGTCTGCTTCTGCAGACCTAGCTCATCTCTCCTGTCCCTCTTTTTCCTCCCTGCTGGCCCCACCGGCCCTCTCCCTACACTCTGCCCTGACCTCCTGTTCACTCTTCAGTCTACTCCCTGTGGCTCCTGTGCCCAAACCCTGGCTCTTTTCAAGGTCCTGGCAGCCCCTTCCTTGCTTCTGTGCTCCTTGGCTTCGGCTCCCTGTCTTTTGAGGCTGGTTTCTCCTCTTTGACCCACTTTCTAGAACCAGGAATTCCTACCTCCCTGATTCTAGGACCAGATTTTCATCCTACAGACACCCCCACCCCCCACCCCGTGACCTCAGTGGGTCTCATGGATTTGACAGTTACCTAAATGTCAGTGACTCTCATGGCGCCGACCTAACTGCTAGGCGGGGCTCTATGCTCCTATGTCCCTTGCCTGAGTTTTCCACTGGATGCCTCCATAGACACTTCAGACTGAACATGACCCAAAAGAACTCTTCATTTCCCCCTCCTAATGTAGTGCTCTTGTCCCTGACTACCTCCAAGCCTGTCTTTCCTGACATAGTCAATAGTGCCACCATTCGCTCCCCAGCTGAAGCCAGAAACCAGGGAGTGGAACTTGACTTTGTTTCTCTGGGTCCTCACTCCCAGCCAAGGGTGTCTGACTCTTCAAAGCTCCAGAACACATCTTAAGAACCCATCTTTGCCTATAATCCCAGAAATTTGGGAGACTGAAGCAGGAAGATCACAATTTTTAAAAAATCATTTTATGTATTTCTTTTTACGTAGTGCTAAGGATCGAACCCAGTGCCTCACACATTCTAGGCAAGCGCTCTGTCCCTGAGCCCCAGCCCCAGCCCGAGTACCACAATTTTGAGGCCAGTCTCAGCGATTTAGCTAGACCCCGTTTCAAAATTAAAAATGAGGGCAGGGTTGTGGCTCAGTGGTAGAGTGGTCGCCTAGCAGCACGAGGCACTGGGTCCAATCCTCAGCACCACGTAAATGTAAAATAAAGATATTGTGTCCACCTAAAACTAAAAAAAATTAAAAATGAAAGGGGCCGGGGATGTAGCTCAGTGATAGAATGCTCCTGAGTTGTATCCCGGTACTGCAAAAGCAAAACAAAACAAGAGCCAAAACCTTTCTTCCCTCTCCACTGCTTCCAGTCTCATCCAAGCCACTGTCTGCTTCAGTCGCCCCTTGACCCATCTTCTCATCCATTCTCGCCAGCAGCAAAGTAATCTATTTTAAAACCTAAATTAGATTGTATTACTCCCTGGCTTGCATCTCTAATGACTTGTCACTGCGTCAAGAATAAATCCTCTGCCTATGGTTTGCCCTCATTCCTGCTCCCCACCCCACCTCTATCTTCTCCTTTACCTAATGGGTTCTCTGTATTGACCTTATCACTTCCTCCAACATCTACCCGACCTGTTCCTCCTTCAGGCCTTTACTCCTGCTCTTCCCTCTTTCCCTGGCTCCTTGAATAACCAAGTTTAAAGACCAGAGGCTCCCCCAATTACTCTATTTTAAGCAGGTTTCCCTACAATCCTTCAGTCAGGAGCTTGTTTCTTTCATGATTTGCATAAGAAACAACTTTTACTTTAGTTACAAAAACCACAGGAGTGAGCCCCTATTTGGTTTCTGTCACGTTGGTCAACATAACAGGTTGAATGGGAGAAATAAAACCATTTTTCCACTTGGGTAATCATCGCCTTCCTTGCTTACAATCTGCTATATAATCCTTACAATCATTTAATACATCATTCCTTCTTTTTTTATTAGTGCATTATTGTTATGTAGGACAGTGGGGGTTCATTTTGACACATCCATGAATGTCAATAACATAGTTTGCTGTTTCAATCCCTAGTACTTCCTCTTTCCCTCCTTCATTCCCTCTTTTTTTTTTTTTTTGTACTGGGGATTGAATACCATGGCATTTTATCACTGAGATACATCCCGTCCCTTCATTCTTCTTCTTGTTAAGAATTTAACCTTTTTATTTAAAAAAATATTTATTTTTTAGGTGTAGATGGATACAACACAATGCCTTTATTTTTTTATGTGGTGCTGAGGATCGAACCTGGGTCCCGCTGTGCTAGGCGAGCGCTCTACCGCTGAGCCACAATCCCAGCCCCAAGAATTTAACCTTTTTTTAAAAAAAATATGTGGTGCCTCACCTGCTAGGCAAGCACTCCACCTCTGAGCCATAACCTCAGCCCCTCTTCATTCCTTCTTTATATAACACACACTGGGTGCTGATGCTGAGCTGGACAGTTTGCAGCCAATCGTGCGATCCAGCAGGCTCTGGAATTGGGTAGTCCTGCATTCAAATCAACCCCAGTCCTGCCACTTCCAAGCTGTATGACCTTGGTCATGCATTCTAGTTTCCCAATGCTGTGTCAAAAAACTTGCTTTGCTGTTTTGGGTAGGTTCTGTGTTAGCTGGGGTGGCCGCAGGTGGGGACTGAGGGAGGGGCTGGATCATCTGTACCTTCAGGCTCGCATATGTCTGGTGGTCAGTGGGGACCAGAGTTGGAGTTGCTGGCTGGAGCCCCTTCATGTGGCTACTCCATGAGGCCTGGGCTTCCTTCCCACTTGGGGCTGGATTCTCAGGGTGAGTGGTAGAGGTGCTCCCCTAGAGCTGCAGCTGAGTCTTATCTCCCCAAATCTAAAAAAATCTCAGCGCAGGAAGGACCCTCAGTTCTTTGCTCAGCCAGGGGTGTTGGGACCCAGAAAAGATAAGTGATAGAGTCAGGACTCAGATCCTATCCAGGAGGGGAGGTGCAGGTCACTCTAGTTTCAGGATCACCTGTGTGGCCAAGAGTGTGTCAGGGGTGGCTGAGCCTGATCTGATATGGTGGTATGTCCCCTGTGTGGATTCACACCAGCTAATACCTCCAAGTTCCATGTAGGAGCAAGGGAAGCAGAGACAAAGGCAACAATTTCCAAGGGCTACGTAGCATCTCTATGTCCCACACCAGGACCAGTCTACAAGACCAGGGGTGTCAGAGCTGGAAGAACTCAGTCATCTGGAACATTAGACTAGGCCAGGTGGGGACTCTGAGGCCCAGAAGTAGGAAGGCCTACAGTGGGTCACTAGCCCAAGGGTACCTCTTCACTGCTTAGTAGTCTTGCTCTATGATTTTTGGTCCATCTCCCTCTATACTGTGTGCTCTATGAGTCCAGGCACTGGCAAGCCCACCAGTGTCTTCAGTGACTTCTCTGTGCTAACAGGGTTGAGTGGGTGAGGTGTGGGTTGTGTCCTGGCTCTGCGGTTTACCATGAATGGATCACATGTTCCTGCTAGGTTTCAGTTTATGCATCTGTACAATGGGATGGGATCCTTGGCCTCCCTTTGCAAAGTGAAAGGGAAAGGAGTCCCCACACGCTCAGCAGAGGGCGCTGGGGAGGAGGGGCGTGTGTGTGTGTGTGTGTGTGTGTGTGTGTGTGTAGGAGCCGATGGGCATGTCCCTGAAGCAGTGTTTGCCAAGAACCTGTTGAATAGCCCTTCTCTCTCCATGGGGGCACCCGCAGGGTCTGAGGGTGCAGGGGCGCTCACACACCTGGGTCCCGATGAAGTCATGCCTTAGGTGAGAGGGGCCTCTCCAGGAGTGTATTCGTGGGGAATGTATTCACGGAAGAGACATGGAAGTGGAGTTGGTGCTAGCTGTGTCGTGTGTCAGGGCACGGGAAAAGGTGGAGGAAGAAGAGGAAGAAGAAAAAGGAGCAGGAGGAGGAAAAGGGGAAAGAAAAGAAAAGCATGGAAAAGGAGGAGAAAAAAATGGGAGGAGGGAATAACGGGAGGAAGAGGAGGCTGCAGAGGGGTTAACACAGCTATGCCCTCCAGGGGCAAGGGAGCCCACCCTGAGGGTGAGGGACCGCCCTGGGCCAACAGACAAACTTAATTTGCCTCTGCCTTGCAGTGCTTTAGGGTGGGCAGTGGCGGCAAGGCGCCGGGCAGGGGTGAGGAAGTTGTAATGGACTCGGGAAAATCCACAAAGCGGAGAGGAGCCCGGGAGACAGTCCCAGAGGGAAAGAAATCACAACCACGAGAGCCGGGGCTCCAGGGCCTTCCGGAGCTGCTCCTGTTTTTTTTTTTTTTTTTTTGGGGGGGTGGTGGTGGTGGTGGTGGAGGAGGAATCAGACCTTCTCCAGCCCATTCCAGCTCCCACCGGGGCCAAAAACTACTCCTAAAGCATCCACTGGTGTGACACTAAGTAACGTGTCGTTTCCATTTTTGCTGTACAGAGTCTGAAACCGAGGTAGGGGAGAGGGGACAATGCCTAGGACCGCAGGCGCTCTAAGCGTGCAGAGTGGGCGTGCACCAGCACTGCACAGTCCTTAGGGCAGCGGGAGGGAAACTGAGGCAGAAGGAGCCGGAGCACGTCCTGGAGGCGTGAGTTTTGAGTCCTTCCCGGCTCTGCAGTTGACCGTGAGCGGATCGCTAGTCCCCCAAAGGCTTCAGTTTACGCATCTGTACGATGGGATAGTTGGTGTTGTTTGGCAAGGTTAAAGGGGGCGGAGTTCGCGCACGCTCAGCACAAGGCGAGGGGCGAGGCGCCGGGTGTGCATGGATGCTGGCTCCAGTGTGCTGAGGTCCGGCGGACCTCGGCCGGGGAATCCCCCCTCCTGCCGCTCACGCTGCCCGATCCAGGATACTGGGCAGCGGGGTGCTTCCCCGGGGTGCGATCCGTTGGCCCGCAGGGGAGGGGGCGGCGGCAGAGCGGAGGAGGAGGGAGCCGGGGCCGCGGCTGCCCGGGCCCACCTGACCCTCGAGGGGGTCGCTGTTGCCTCGCAGATTCCTCCCTCGCTTCCAGCCTGCGTCCCTCCCCGCCGCTCCCGCCGCGTCCGCCTTTTGTTCGCGGAGCCGCGCGCCCCCGAGCCGAGGCGGCGGGGCGCGGAGCTGGCGGGGCTGCGCGGGGGGCGGGCCGCGCCGGGCGGAGCCGGAGTCCTGGCCGCAGCCGGACTCGGAGCCCGAGGCAGCGATCGGCGTGCGGGCGGCCGAGGTCCCGGCGCGCTCCGGGGGCGCGGCGAGGCCGAGGGGGCGGGCGCCGGGCGGAGCCGGAGCCGGAGCCGTGGCGCCTGGAGGCGATCGGGCCGCTCTCTCAAAGCTCAGAGCAGTGGAGAGACTGTGCGGCGGGGGTCGGGTCCGGAGCGCAGCCCCCAAGCTGTGGTGGGCCGAGAGGATCCGCACCTCGAGCGGCCGGAGCTGCACCGGGACCCTCCCCAGGGACGCCGAGGCCGGGCGGGCCCCGGCCATGCGCGCCGCTCGCTGAGGCCGAGTGAGGCCGCGATGGAGGCGCCGGCTGGCGAGCCCCCGGCGCGGGGCTGCGTTCCCCCGCCCGCGCCGGTCCTGGAGAGGAAGAAGAGCCACCGCGCGCCGTCGCCGGCCAGGCCCAAGGACGTAGCCGGCTGGTCGTTAGCCAAGGGCCGCCGCGGCCCAGGCTCGGGCGCCGCTGCAGCCTGTAGCGCCGCGTCCTCAGCGCGGCCAGACAAGAAGGGGCGCGCAGTGGCGCCAGGGGCACGAGGCGCGGGGACGCGTGTGGCCGGGGTTCGCACCGGAGTCCGCGCCAAGGGCCGTCCGCGCCCGGGTGCCGGGCAGCGACCTCCGCCTCCGCCGCCCAGCCTCACCGACAGCAGCTCCGAGGTGTCCGACTGCGCGTCGGAGGAGGCGCGCCTGCTGGGCCTGGAGCTGGCGCTGAGCAGCGACGCCGAGTCGGCGGCCGGGGGGCCGGCGGGGGCCCACACCGGGCAGCAGCCTCAGCCCGCGCCGTCCGCGCACCAGCCTCCGCGGCCGCCCGCTTCCCCCGATGAGCCATCGATGGCCGCGTCGTCGGTGGGCAGCAGCCGTCTGCCTCTCAGTGCCTCGCTCGCCTTCTCTGACCTCACCGAGGAGATGCTGGACTGCGGGCCCGGCGGCTTCGTGCGCGAGCTGGAGGAGCTGCGCTCCGAGAACGACTATCTCAAGGTGGGGGCGCCCAGGGGGAAAGGGAGGCAGCCTTACGCGTGCTGACACGGCCCCGAGGGCCTCTTTCCCACTGAACAAGCTGGGGAAAGGGGCCCAAACCCTCTGGGGACCACTCTGAGATCGATCTAGGGGGCCCTCACATTCCCTCTTCTCACTTTATTTGGGAAGCCCTCTTCGGAGGAGAAACTTGGATAGGACACTGATCAAAGGACCCTGATTTGGGGACAGGGGCCTTGAGAAAATTGCTCTGAAGGGTGCTCTGTGGTGGGGTGTGTAGTCAATGAGGGGCTGGACCTCTGCTTTCAGCGGCTCAAAACCTGCCCCAGACTTGCAGGCCTTCCGTGACTCTCCTTTCTGGGGCCATTAGTGTGCTCCGCCTCCGGGGAAACCTGTGGCCATTCCTTGCCAAGGACAGGCTGGAACAGAATCCTGAGTCTTTACCCAGGGCTTCCCCAGGCACAGGCCTGTCCCCGCCTGCCTTTTAGGGCGGGTCCACTTTGAAAGCATGACATCTGGGAACATCCCCTTGGCTGGAGTCCACTTCCGCCCAGTCTAACGGTCCCACAGCCTGGGAGGATGATATTGTGGGAGAACCGGTTCAGAGGCAGCTCCCTAGATCCCAGGATATTGTCTTCTGCCTTCTGGGCAACAGGCCTTGTATACAACGGCCCTGGCCTGGCCAGTCATGGCCATTGCCCATGTCCTTCCCATACTCCCAGTGGGAGGGGGGAAACTGCTGCCTGAAAGGGACTCTCCCTCTGGGCATGTGGGGACCTGAGAGCTTTTTGGGGAGAGCAGGCTTTGCCTTGGCCCATTCAGTGGACATGAGTACCTCCTGGATGCAGGCCAGGTTCCCTCTGCCAGTCGCCTAGTTCCATGGCTGCCGGAGGAGCAGCCTGGCTCTGGGGTGTTGACCTTGGCCTGGGAGGCCGGACTCATCATGGGCTTTACAGACTGGGCATGGTTTTGGAAGAGACTGAAATGTTGCTTGCACTTGTCTGTTGATGGCCTGGCATAGCACCCAGAGTATCCCTGGCCAAGAGCCACGGAGTTAACAGCACTCTGCTGAGTTATGTCTGCCCTGTGGCACTTAACTTTGCCTTCTTCTAAAGGGGTTTCTCACTCATTAGAGTGTTGGGGTCTTTCCAGCTGTGTCTCTTGCTCCCCTGTTTTCCTGGGGACTTGTTGGGCTTGTCGTATAGGACAGCGTCTGCCTGAGGCAGGACTACCTAGCCCTTCAGTGCCCAGCCCTTCCCATTTAACTGTTAATAGGAGGGTGGGTCTTCCCAAAGACCCCAGTGACAATCAGGGGTTCCCTCAGGCCTTATTGTGTGCTGAAGCCAGTGGGAGGGAGCAGGCAAGTGGAGGGGGGAGGAGGAGGGAGACTACAATGACAGGCCGAAAGAGGACCTTTTGCGCTTGTCCTCTGGAGGCTTTGGGCTGCTTTCCACACTGCCTGCCTGAGCTGCCCCAAAGCTGGATCCTGAGCCCCTCACCCCTCACCCCCACTGCTCACTTGCAGAGGAGGAGGGCTCACAGTGCTTTGCTTCTAGTCTCATGCACCTGCTCCTGTCCACCCAGGCCCAGCTGGGGACATGGCAGTGCTTGGGACAGGCCTGCACCTTAGTTTCCACCTGAGTTTTAATTTCTACCTGAATTTCAGGCTTCATGCACAAGCCTCAGGCGCTGTTGGGTCTGGGGTCTATAGCTTCCTGACTGTGATTTTGGGCAAGTTATTTAATGTCTCTGGTATTCAGTTTTGTTTTTTCATATGTAAAAATAGGATAATTACACCTTTTGCTCTTTTTAAAAAATATTTTTTAGTTGTTGATGGACCTTTATTTTATTTATTTGTATGTGGTGCTGAGAGTTGAACCCAGAACCTCACGTATGCTAGGCAAGTGCACTACCACTAAGCCAGGACCCCAGCCCCACATTTCACTCTTAAAAGATTAAATGAGATAATGTGTGCAAAGACCATTAGAGAGCCTGGTGTGTAGTAAATCTCAGATGGTGTATAGTAAATCTCAGTAGCTGAGATCATGTCTATTCCCAAGCGATTTTGGACAGGTTTCCATGTGTACTTCTCTGGGTCTCTTGTGGATTCTGTGGGTGCAACATAGATCCTCCTCCCCACCTGGAGCAGGCTGGGCTTTCTCCGGCCTTTCATTCATTCATTCATTCATTCACCAACTAACCAGGGTCTTTTGCCTGTGTACTAACACAGATGGAGGGTGGGGATATCACTGTGAACAGGCCAAAGTGTCTGCTTTCCAGGAACCTTGGGGAGACCCGTACAATAGTAGTCATACTCTAAAGCACATTGTGGATCACGGGGATGTGTGGAAAGTGTAAGGGTGCCAGGAGCACGTGAGGATGGGGGCTGGGGCTCAGGGAGGCCAAGACCTGAAGGATGACATGGAACCAGTAGACTGAGGAGCTGTAGTAAGAACGTTCTAGGCTAAGGATAGGTGGGTAAAGGCTTGTTGAGTTTGAGAGGATTGGAGAGAGCGGTGAGTGAGACCTGACAGTGCCGATTCTTGCTGTGTGTGGTGGGACCTCGCATCACTTCTCTGAGGTTTGTTAACCTCAGCTGCCAGTCTCACAGAGGCAGGGGGACCCTGGACACGGTGCATGTGGCCGTAAATATAGGACTTATGACAGGGTGTTTTGTTGTGGTGATGGTGGGTGTTTTCATTCTGCAGATGGGTAAACTGTGGCCAGAGCAGGGGAGGGACTGGCTGCAGGTCCCAGAGCCAGGTCTCAGGGCAGCCAGGGCTGGGAGTGGGAACAGGCTAGACTGATGTTTTTCTTACCTCTTTGGGTCACTTTGCTACTGAGGTGCAGCCTAGATAATGAGGGAAAAGACTCAGACCCCAGTGTGTCTGTTGCAGACTGACTGTTCAGGTTGAGGGGAGTGCCCCTGAGTCCAGCAGGTGGCCTGGTTCAGTTTCACCTCCCAGCTGCTGAGGGGACACTGGGGACTGTCAGCAGGGGGAAGGGCTATTAGATGACTGTAGATCTCCTGGGTTTCCCATTTAGGGAGAACCTGTCCGGGGGCCCATCCAGGGAAGCGTTAATGGGATAACTCTCTCCCTAAGAAAAGCTAGAAGGACTTTCTACAGAAGAGGTCCTAAGCTTGCTGTCCCTTGAATTATTCAAAAAGAACTCCATGCTTGGATATAGGTAGAGTTTGTGGAAAGCAGCTTGTAAGTGGTCCAAAACGTTGGTGGTTGTGATTTCCTGAGGAACGTTCCTGGGGAGATTTATGTGGTGGCTACAGTTGAGCTGCCTGACCTTGAGTCCCTTCTAGCTAAGGAAGTCTGAAGGTTATTAACTGCCAAAGTTCTAGAATCCAGAGATGGAACTATCACTGCAGAATAGACACGTCAACTATGTTTGACCTTCAAAGCCCCAGTGGTCTGAGGTCAACCATGACCACCAACAGTTACCATGTCCCACGTGGCGAGGACAGGCTAGGAACCCACTGGGTGTGGATGGAAGAATCAGAGAGCTTGAGCCGGAAGACCTGGCTTGGAGACCTGTTTTTACTATTTTCTGTTTGGCCATGGGCAGGTCACTTGGCCTCTCCGAGCTGCCTTTTTCTCATCTGTATGATGAAGACTCTGGAGCCGGCCAGGGCAACCTCAAAGGATTGTTTTCATCAATCCTGGAGGTATGAATAGACAAGAAAACATTTTGCAGAAAGTGAAATCCCACAACGTATGGGGAACTGTTATTATTGTTAGCCAATGAGCAGAGAGGATGTCCATGTGTTCCTTCTAGAAGAACTGGAAGAAGACTGGAGGGTGGATTTCCTTAGCTTTAGAATGTTAATAGAGCAGGAGCTACTCCAGGGAGGGCTGGAAGGTAGGATGCATTCCCTGCTGCTCTGTGGGCTCTGGGGACCCAGGCCTCCTTGGAGGCTCTAACTGTGTCTAGGTATTTGCTCAGGAAGCACCCCATTGACCCCAGTTGCCCTTATACAGATGGATCAATGCAGGCTCCAGGTCTTGCAGCCATGACTCCAACACCTGTTGGTCTAACCCGGGGTCCTGTTCTTTCTTTTCTTCTCCATCTCCTTCTTGAAGAAGAAGTCCTCCTCTCCTTCCTCCTCCTGCTCTCTCCATCTTTATTTTGTATTTTGAACTCAGGGACACTTTACCACTCAGCCACATCTCCACCCTTTTTATTATTTCTTTTTAAATTTTGAGAAGGGGTCTCACTAAGTTGCCCAGGCTGACTTTGAACTTGCCATCCTCCTGCCTCAGCCTCTGGGATGGCAAGGGTTCCTGACTGCTCCCAGCTAGGGGTCCTGTTCTTCCTGCAGTGTGACCAGAGCTCAGCATTTGTTGCTAACAGTGAGCCTGGACTGAGGGGAATCCTGTCACAGGCCAGGCTCTAGGCTAAGCGTATAGGGCAAGTGGTGGACAAAACAGGTTGGAGACCCGGAGCCTGCACATGGGGGTCGTGGACACGGGTGTCCCTGTGTGTGGGACCGATCCTTCTCTAAAGTGGAGGACAGGCATGCTGTCCAGGGTCGTGGGGGCCCTCCACTGTAAGGTGAAGGTGAAGTGCTCAGTCAACTCTAGTGCCTGACCCACCGTCGCCTTCCCTAATGCTCTCCTGCAGGCATCCATCGCCCATCCATCCATCAGCACATGTTTTCTGAGTGCCTCCTGGGTGGTGCCAGTCCACACAGCAGGTCACTGTATGTAGCTCTTCTCAGCTCCTGGATAGGGGGAGAGCTCCAGTCTGTCAGTGGGGAGAAGAGAGGAATGGTCACCTTGGTCAACAAAGCCCAGCTGGTCCCTACCTGGAGTCCCATCCTGAAAGGTAGCCTGGAGGAGGCTGCTCTGAGACCTGGGGCTTTAAGAATTCTTAACACTTGCCTGTCAGCGGAGAGGGGACAGCTCCTGCAAGATGGAAAATGTGAGCAGAGGCTGCTGTGCCCTGCGGGGACTTCTGAACACCCAGGACTACCAGCTTTCCTTGTGGAG